TTTTTGGTCTGTCTGCTTTCTGTTTCTTGCTTTCCAAGCAGCTTTCGGCCAATCCTTGGTCCCATGTACGAAGATGTCCTTAGTGGACCTAGGGAAGAGGTTGCTGGAAGCGGCTCGCAAAGGCGAAGATGACGAAGTGCGGAAGCTGATGGCGAGCGGTGCTCCCTTCACCACCGACTGGGTACGTCGGGGGGAGGAACGGGCGGTGGTTTTCTGTGCGAAACGGGTCGCGCGGGCGCTCCTCGAGGCTGGGCCTGAAGCATCGAAATGGGAATCGGAGCAGGAAAACCAGTGGGGATTGGCAGAAAATGCCTCTCTGGGTTTCTGTGGCGGAGCGGGTTCCAGATAAAGCACTTTAAAACCCGAGATGTTTCTCAGGCAAAGATGAGTTGACGTTTGTGTAAAGATTGATCTCTGCCTGACGCACGAGAGCCGTGCTGCCCCGGACAGCGGCGTCTGGAGGGTTCGATGCTCTAAGAAGTGCAGTTCCCAACAGCTGAGCTAAATGATGAGTCAGGTCAAATTGGAAGAACCGTTAAACCTCTCGGCAAGAGGAAGTTCTTTTAAAAAAGCTGTATTTAATTGCTTGAACTTTCTCAGTCAAGAAACTCATCTTTGGGGTGTTTTTTTTGTTTCCTTAAAGAAACAAACCCCTGAAAACAAACAGCCCGTCCTGGGTTGCAAAGGAAATAAAAGCTTTAATGAAAGTGAAGAGTAACAGTTGGATAAAGAGGGAACCAGAGGATACCGAACAAGCCGTCGGTAGCCGTTTTCCTTCTTTGCTTCCTAACTTACCGGTCTGCTCGTTCGTAACGTTGCGAGGTGAAGGCATTAACTGTCCCGGGAAGCAGCAGAGCTTCGGAATATCGCGACGCTGCCCTTTTCTGAACGGCGGTGGAATGGTCTGCCGTGGTGTTGAAGTGGCAGAGCTGGCCTGCTGCCGTTTGGAAAAGCAGCTCCGTGATGAATGGGTGGCGCAGCGGAGAAAGTAAAAGCGTGTTTGATCTTCAAGTTATCAGATAAAACCCCGGAAAAGTTTAGCGCTTGTTGGGAAAATCATTGGATGGGCAGCCCCTACTTCTAAGTGGAGAGAAAAAAAACCCACAAGTTAAATTAGTTACTTGCCGAAGCTTCGTCACTTTGGTTACTGCCGGGCACGCGCGTGGTGATGGCTGTGCCTGTCCTCTCTCTCGCTGGGCGCAGGCAGTAACTCTCCTAAATTAACACGCAGCTCGGGACGTCGCCCCTTCACCTCGCTGCCCAGTACGGCCACTACTCGACAGCAGAAGTGCTGCTGCGAGCTGGCGTCAGCAGGGACGCCCGGACGAAAGTGGACCGGACGCCGCTGCACATGGCCGCGGCCGACGGACACACTCACATTGTGGAGCTGCTCATCCGGGTGAGTAGCTTCGGTCGGACTTCAAGGCTGGTCTGAGTCACCCTTGGAGTTTGGTGTTGGTGTTTAAGCGCCAGCGCCGGCACCGCCTTTCAGACACCGAGCGGTGCCGCGCAGGCAGGTGACGCCTGGTTTCCTTCAGAACGGGGCCGATGTCAACGCCAAGGACATGCTGAAGATGACGGCGCTGCACTGGGCGACAGAGCACAACCACCGCGACGTGGTCGAGCTGCTCATCAAGTACGGGGCCGACGTCCACGCCTTCAGCAAGTTCGATAAATCGGCTTTTGATATCGCCTTGGACAAGAACAACGCGGAGACGCTGGTGATGCTACAGGTGGGTTGAGGAGGGAGAAACTCGTTGGGAGTTCTCTGACCCACGGCCGTGTCTGCCCCAGAGCGAGGGGGGATCCTGTTGTGTCCGGTGGGATCGTTTTCTGCTTGCAGAGAGAGCCAGAAACGCGGAGGTGGACGAGGTTTGTTGGCTTTCGGCGTCAGCTCGCGCCTGCCTGCTGGGGGGCGGTGGGGATGGGGTTTTGTTGCCGGTCGTAGCGTAAGTTGCCGGGTTTCGGTGGCAGTTTTGTCACAGCTTTTGCACTGGAGCCCCTGACGTGCTGCAGAGAGGAATAATCTGCCTCTAGAACGTTTCAAGGATGCTAGGTGCCCCACAAAGCGTGACGAATGAGTGCCTGACCCCACTCTCTTTCCCAGGAAGCGATGCAGAACCAGGGAGACGCTCATCCAGAGAGACCGAATCCCGTCACCAACACCGTGACTCTCACCTCACCATTTATTCTCACGCCAGGGGAAGTTTTCGATCTCACTGGTCTGGTCTCTTCAGCAAACTCCAAAACAACCTCAGGTAAGGTCTTAGGTGACCTTGAGTGGGGAAGGCTTGAAAAAAGGTCCTAGGGCTGCTTACCAGCAGAGGGCAGATGGTCGTTTAGTAGAGGAAAAGTGGTGAAATCCGGCCAAACACGCCCAACTGCTTCCTGCCCCGGAATATTTTTGCCGGGGAAGGTAACAAAGCAGATTTCTGGCTGATGTAAATAAAAGTGGTTCCACAGTGAGCGGCGGAGCTCTGCTGAGCTCAGCTGCGGGGCTGCTCCAGCTCTGTTACAGGCAGCAGAGCTTGAGAAAATGGATTTGGCCGATTGCAACAGAGGAATAATGGGAATTGTTGCCCGTGCCAAACCCCGAGCGGTGCAGAGCGATGGGGGAACAGTTTGCTTTGTTCTTTGTTGGCTGCGGGCGCTGAGCGAGTGTTTTGCTGTACGTAAACGTAGAGTAAGGGAACTGCAGAATGAGCAGGTCTGTTGGGTCTGTCGATGGCTCCTTGTTCCTTCTGTCCCGCACGTTAGGTGGAAATAATTGTGTTCCTCGTTGTTCCGTGGGCCTTATTTGGGTGGGAAGACTTTGAACTTAAGGCTGAGTGCGAATTCTCTTTGTGCAATTCCAACTTTCATAATAACTCTTGAAGTGGATTTTCTGTATTGGGGGAAATCCAAACCGTTGTTTCTCTTCAGCCTCAAGGAGGCTGCTAAATACAACTGTTGTGGAGCTGTTTGGCCTCATCCTGCAAACGCTTCGGCATGTGAGTAATTCTTCGATTAGTGGGCCTGTTCACACGCGTGAATGTTTGCCTGTTGGCTAGAGAGGGCTCTCAAAACCCCCGGTGCTGGTGTTCTGCACTCTGCCCCAGACCTCTCCGCCTGTGCCTGCCCAGGGCGACGGCAGGAACGCTCCAGACGTGCTCTGAAAGCCGTCAGGGCTGCTCGCAGCTTTGAGGCACTGACAAACCCGCGTTTGGAAGGGGGAAAAAAACCCCCCAAAGCGTTCCTCTCCTCCCTGTGAGGAGAACGTGGCGCGATTGGCACGCGTCGCCTTCGGTCGAGGGTATGCCACGAACTCAAAGGGGTGGAAAACTTGGGATTTTTGGACCCCGGGTGACTCTGGCCACGGTCGGCATCGCTGGCTCTGCAGACGGGTCTGGCTCTGCCTGGGAGCCAGGTAGGAGTCGGAGGCTCCCACCCTGCTGAAAGGCAACTTTGGAAACTGCTGGTTTCCAGAGGAAACGCACGCGCAGCCTGTTCAGGCCTTCTCCTGGTGCGAACGCAGCCCTTCAGTTGAAATCATTCCCCTTTTTCCATCGCCTCCACCCTTTTGAGGCGGAAATCAATCCTGTGCCCTCTCTGCCGCTGTTTCGCTGGGCTAAGCAAGCCGGTTGTCCCGAGTCCCTGGAATCCCTCTGCGGTGTGGGGGTGAGCTCTAGATGAGCTCTGGGCGCTGCCCTTGTGAACCCCCGTCTCTCCCCGCTCCTCTCCTCGTTATCTCCTGCAATGAAATCGCCTTTTTCGCTGCCGCAACGCGGCGGCGGCGGCTTATTGTCCGCGTGTGACTGGGCTGAAATACCCTGGGTTTTCCCCCCGCCGTGACCCTTCAAGCATCGGTAGTAGCTGGTCGGTGTGAAATACCCGGTGCCTCCTGCTCTGGGCCACGTCAGGAGCGTTTTTTCCTCATTTCCCACAAGAGGGCATCAGCGACTGCGCCTTCGTTACGACAAATCTCCTACTTAACGCTTAGGGCCGATGATTTTTCTTACCTCTCTGAAATTCCCTATGTCTTCCGTTATTGAAAAGGGTTTTAAATGGGAACAAGTCGCTTCAGCTGGTCTGAAGAAATGTGGCTCCCAGCTGCTGAAAACAGTCCCTGGGCCCGTGGTATTTCCACACGCCTGGCCCACGGCCTCTTGAAAGTGTCGTTCTGTGGGGAAAAAAAAAAAAAAAGCCCCTTGACAACCTTTGTAAAAGCAGGAGCCGGCGAGAAAGAGAGGAAATCGGTTGCAAGGGTTAAGGCAGGAGAACTTTAGCTGAACTTCCCGTTGTGTGCTTACAATCTCTTTATCTACGCTGGCAAGGAGGTACAGGATCTTTTTTTTTTTTTTTTTAAAGAGGGACGGTGGGTTACAGGCGCTGAGTTTGCGCCCGTTTAGTTCATTTCCTCTTCCATTCTTACAACGTCTGCCTTTGAATAGGGGTGACCGTGGTCAATTGGAGGAAGAAACATTGTTTTTTTGGAACCGAGAAGACTGGTTTATCTCGTTCCAATCAATACCCCCGTCGCAGGGACCCGTGGTCTTTGCGTGGCTGAACCCGAGAGGGGAGAGGAAAGGAGCAGCGTGCCCAGCACGTTGCGGCCGACTGACCGGCGCAGCCGGTCTCTGCGTGGGAGCAGAGGGCCTGTGCTGAGGCGTTCGGCCCGTGAAGTAGCGCCGGAGACTTTCCCAGCTGAGGAAGAACTTGGGGGCTGTCGCTTACTCCTAAGAGCCACCGGGTTCGAGATGTTCTGGAGGTTTTGTGAGTTTGAAAGTCGCGGCACGACGCCCGCAGCAGCCGCCCTGCGCGGCACCGCCGCGGCCAGACCCCAGCGTGCCGATGAGTGTCACCGGGCGGCGTAGCCGCGGCCTTGAATGCTGCCCTGTCCCCCGCGCCGAGC